GTTCAGCAGTCTGGGTTAGACATAATGTCCAATATTGTGGCCTTTTAGGCACAGAATTGCATTTGTGTGTTACTATACCACCAATACCAGCAAGGAATCGTCATCATTAGAAAGAAATACAGTAGCTATTCCTCCTGTGGTGGTTAACAGTCAGGTTGTAGAGATTGTGCTTAAGTGCAGATACCCTGGAACTGTTATCGATAACAAGCTGATGTTTGAGCAACATGAGCATTTTAAAAAAGCCCAGCAGAGCGTGTATTTTTATCCAACGCTTAAATGTTTTGAAGTTCATAGTGTTTTTATGCGGATGTTTTATCAAATCCCAGCTGCAATTGGCTTCTTGAATAACTTATTTTTATGTCATTGTTAGTAATTTAAAGTTTTCTATTATTACTGGGTAGATGGTGTCTGTGTTATTGCTACTGGCTGTAAAATGAATTGCCCTTAAGGGATAATAACAATCAATCAATCAATTAACACGGTCTAAGCACAAAGAGGGAACCTCACTGGCTTCAGTTGAACTTAAAGGGGAGTTTAACTGATTTAGTCATGAGGACCAGTAACCGGTCACTGGGCCGTACTACTCAGCCTGTTGAAAGAGTAACTGTAGGCAAAATAATCCAGACGATGTCATTCTGCTACAGTTATTTTATCTCAGTTTGGGTTTGAAGACCACAGTGAATGAATAAATAAACAGAAAGCAAGTGTGACATGGAATCTAAAAGGCATTGGCATTTACTGTGAAAGTAACTAAATCTGCTATTATGAATAGAAATGAATATAGTGGTTTTTGGATCTTGGCACATAGAGATTAAAGCTGCAATCAAAACTGGCTTTAGCTTTGTGTTGCACCTAGGCCCTTTCCTAAACAGTGAATCTGGTGTTTTCAGGGGGGGGGGGGCTGGGGATCTTGTAAGAGACGTCTGTTCTACCAGATGACACAGGATAAGCTCTTTTTGTCCACCAGTTTCCCCATTTGTCATTAATGCACCCTGCAGCTGCTGAGAGCACCTTCTTGTTAAAATGTTGACATGACAAGTGATTGGCCTTAGTGTATGTTCTGATGGGTCCCACATTTATCAAAAGCGCCACCTTCCCACCTCCTGTTGGCTAAAAAAGGCTTATGGAGATTACTCAGGTGTGCAAAGTTGAGCCTCATTAAAAGTGCAGCGTCCCTACTGACGAGTCGGTGTGAGACATTTTGCCCAATCTACATATTCAAGAAGTTATTTCTCCAAACTTTGTTATACTTTTCATCCTAATTATTCCGCACAGTGGGCGGTCGGTCGTCATCATTTCGCGTGATTTTCGGCTGTTACAAACTCCAGAGATGGTACAGCTCAGGGCGGACTCGTTTGCCTTCGGAGGCGTTGGTTTCTGTTTCTGTCTATCTTACGCACTATCTCCGCCCTTAAGGGAGAGACATCGCCGTTTACCGAGCACCTTTCCCCCCCACGCACTGCTTCACGCACTGCTTAAATCAAAATTAGGTGTGACGGACTGCACGGGCGTAAAGGACACCGCGTCGACTGGCCACCGGAGTCACCCCATCGTCATCAATCTTTGGATTATTGGGACGTCGTTATGCCACGCAGACGCTTTCCAAGATTAAACCACCCGAGCTAAAGATCACGCCAAAATGTGCACGACACAGATGTTGTTCAGATGTTGCTGCACACATTCTGGAATTAGCTTGTAAATACATCTGGGGTATTTAGTATTATTTTGATGCGCGCAGTGTGCAGTAGGTGTGTGTGTTGCTCAGAGTTGGCATAGCCACAGGCACTACCTTCACAATTATCCTCATTTTAGTATCAGTAATCGGCATGATTTATGTGCGGCTCGCTGGTTGTAACGATAGAATCCGTCTTGTGGCGTTAGTCGCAATTTTAAACGTGAATATAAGTGAAAAATGAACCAATTGGCTCCTTGCATCGCGATAACAGGAGTTCATATTATTCACAGATAATAAAGCGACACAGTGGCAGTTTGGAGTCACATGTTCCCAGAACAAACAAGTAAGATGACAAAACCCGTCCTCACAGGGGATTCTCTTTATTACCGAGGACGCTGCGTTGGGATCACATCTCAGTTCCTGGATTGCAATAGAGCCGGAGGACAGGGAACAGAGGAAGAAGACAAGGAGAAGCAGAGAAGAGCTGCCGAGCCGCACAGCAGAGCCCCCCGTTGATAGGCAAGCTTTGGTTTCAGTGAAGGACTGAGCTGAAGGTGAAGGGATCCTTGTGGCAGTCAGTTTCACATTTTCTTCAACAGCCTTCAAGCGTGCATGTATGGACACACTGCAGCATAGGTGAGAATCAAGAAGAGCTGCCCAGTTAGAACACAACAAA